ATTCAATTTAGTTTTGTACACCCATTTCACACCAATCACAGGTTTATCAGATGGTCTTTTCACTAATTCCCAAGTCTTATTTTTCTCAATCATGCTGATTTCATCTTTCATAGCTTTCTTCCATGCTTCATCCTGTGCAGCTTCATAATAGGATTCTGGTTCAACAATACACACATGACATCTTTCATAGATTTCACTCAAACTTCTATATCTCAAAGGAGTATGATCAATCTGAGATGCAGAAATTGAGTCACTAGCACTTCCAGATTCAATGAGTGGAGAATCTGTAAGTTGAGTCTGAGAACCTTCAGCAACAGCTTGTTCCATGGAATCCGAATCCTCATCAGCTTCTTTCATCTCTGAAGATTCACTTGCAGCAATTGGAATGTACACTTCTTTGATCTTCTGTCTATCCCAATCCCATGTACCATTCTCATAAAAAATAACATCTCTTGAAATGGTTACTTTCTGATTTTCAGGATTAAGCAATCTGTACCCCTTTTCACAAGTGCCATATCCAATAAAAATACCAATGACACTTGTTTCATCCAGCTTCTGTCTCAGGTTTCCAGGAATAAGGGAATAACCTAATGAGCCAAACACTCTCAAGTGTTGAATTCCAGGTTTTCTTCCACTGAATTTCTCAAAAGGTGTCACATTTTCCAATGCTTTTGTAGGACATCTATTTAGCAAGTAGACAAATGTAACTACAGCTTCACCCCAAAGACTATAAGGAAGACCTTTCTCATGAAGCATACACTTTGCCATCTCCACTATAGTTCTATTTTTTCTCTCTGCAACTCCATTCTGTTGTGGAGAGTATGCAACAATAAGCTGCCTCTCCAAACCCAAAGCTGCACAAAACTGGTCAAATTCATTTGAGGTAAATTCTCCTCCTCTATCTGTTCTCAATTTCTTCACTGAAAAACCACTTTGAAGTTCCACCATAGCTTTGAATTTCTTGAATACATGAAAGACATCTGACTTGTGTCTCAAGAGATATATCCAGCACATCCTCGAATAGTCATCAATGAATGTAACAAAGTATCGATTTCCACTCATGGTTGGTGTTTGCATAGGGCCACACACATCTGAGTGTATAAGTTCCAATGGCATTCTTGCTCTCCAGATTGACTCCCTTGGAAAGGACACTCTATGATTCTTACCAAATGCACATCCCTGACATACACCTTCACTGTCATGCATTTCAGGTAACCCAAGAACCATATCATGCTCCTGCAATTGTTGCAAACTTCTAAAATTCAGGTGGCCAAACCGTTTATGCCACATTGTACTACTCTGATGCACATTGGTTTTCAATACCAAATGATCGTTTGACTTGAACACAAGTGGAAAGCATCTGTTCCCCTTTTGTTTCACACTAACCACTAAATTTGTCAGAGTTCTATCATCAAAAATATCCACCTTATAATCACCAAATAACAGAAAATACCCATGTTCAGTCATCTGCCCAACACTGAGAAGGTTTTCTGCAATTCCAGGTACCAACATAACTTCTCTTATGTACCTTTTTCCTTTATCCGTGTCAATGACCAAGGTTCCTTTGCCTTTCACATCAACAAGAACCCCTGTGCCAACTTGCACTTTTGCCTTAATACTTCTATTAATTTCCACAAGTAACTCCTCTCTAGAAGTCATGTGATTACTGCACGCACTGTCAATATACCAGGCATCACTCACAGCTTTCACTTCAGTTGATTGCTTGACCATGAAGAGATTTCCAGGTTCTCCCACCTTGTTTGTAAAATTCCTTTGCTCTCCCACTTTGTCTGCAAAATTTCCTTGCTGAGCATTTTTGTTTTGATTGCAGATCCTAGCAATATGACCAGGTTTTCCACACTTGTGACATTTAATCTTCCCTTTTAGCCAACATTCACCATAGTGAAGTTTATCACAGTATTTGCATGCCCCTCCAGTGTTGTTAACTTCATTTCTTACACTTGGAGTAAACCTGTTAGTCCACTGCTTCCCTTTGAACTTGAAGTTCTTCTGATATTTTGATCCACCAGTATTGGTATGTTGATTACCAAATTTACTATTCTTAGATAAGATATCTAAGCTAGCAAATGCACGTTCTGTGCTACTCTCTTCATGTCTGATTAATCTTAGTTCAAACCCTTTCAATATGGCAACCACATCTTGTGCATCAATTACATCAATATCTTTAGTATTTTCTATAACAGAAGCAATGCTATCATATGTTTGGGTAAACTGATCAATAACTTTTGCACAATTCTCTGATTACTAAGATCTTCTCCATAGCTTCGCATCTGATTTATCATATCAAACAACCTAGCTAAATATGCAGCTAGAGATTCACTTTCACTCATACGGGTATATTCAAAATAACGACGCAGACCTTGTAATTTCACAGATCGTACCTGTTTGTCCCCTACATACTCTTGCTTCAGAATATCCCAAGCTTCTTTCGCAGTTTCCAAGGTTGCAATGCGTGGAAAAATTTGATCCGATACGGCTCCCTGAATGATTCCAAGAGCCCTTGCATCCTTGACCAGATTTTCACTCCGCAACTTCGTTTCCACCTCAGTGAGTTCTCCTTCCCCTTTCGCTGAAGTGGTAAAACCTTTTTCAACAATATTCCATAACTCGTGAGATCGGAAGATTGTTTTCATTCGAATCTGCCAGAAATCGAAATTTTCTCCGTTGCACACCGGAGCTCGAAGCTCCCCTCCACCAGATCCAGCCATGTTAGACTTAGATCACACCTCTCTCTACTATTTTCTTTGCAACGATGTGTTGCAAACACTTGCCCACTATCTCTCACAGAATCGACGCCCAGAGATTCAGACCCAACAAGGCTCTGAGGCCATGTTAGAATAAGAAGGAAATATAGTACAACAATGGAGGATATGCTGCAATGACTAGAGTGAGAGAGAGAGAGAAAGAATGAGAACAGAGAATATGACACTGCAATTCTTTTTCACACGCACTGTTTGATTGCTCACTTAGTGAGAGAGGAACATCTCTCTCTACACTTAACAGTTACACTTCCAAACTTTTGGCAGTATTCAAAATTACATCCAAGTAATCCTAGCCATCCATCTTACACCCTATGAGATGAAGACACATGTACACTCACTTACTTAAGAACTATGAGACTTAGATAAGAAAGCATACAACCAATTTAGCTAATCATCCTAGCAATATAAGCTAGAAATACAACTACCACATCAGATCACAATTTACACACTAACAAAACCAACATCTCCTTCAGTTCAACAAACTCAAGCAGCGCATGCGCAAGCTGCTGCTGCTGTCGGAACCCAACATTTCCCAACAAGTACTAGTACTCGTCAGTTTCAAACTATGCGCCAAATATGAATAATAGTACTGGGCTGCTGGGAAATGCTATTTTCAACCAAGCACTTCAAAGTCAGACACGGATGATGCAGCAAATACTCGGTGGTGCTGGATTTGGTGATTCGTTTAATCAGGGTTTGGAGAATCAGGTACAGCTTATTCAACAAATAGCCAGTGGTGGCAGTGGACCCAATCCAGGTTTGGGAAATGAGGCACAGCTTATTCCACAAATAACCAGTGGCGCATTTGGTGGTTCCTCTGGTCAGGGTCTAGGAGATCAGACACAGCTGATTCAACAAATACTCGGTGGCGGTGGTTTTGGTGGCAATGGTTTCGGTGTTGATACGAATATTACTGATTTCGGGAGCAGCACTGCTGGTGCTAGTATTGATCTCTCGTCATTAGGATCCATTGACTTTTTGAGCGGTCTCAGCTTCTTTTGACGAGCATATATGTTATGTCTTTCTCTTGCAGCAATTAACAAGTCATTTTTTCTTAAAAGATAATAATCATTTCATATTGTAATCGTACAAGCTGCAAAACTAGCTTGGTTCGATTCAATATTTTCACTGTGTTATATATTTGTTACAAAACTATTTTGTTTTATGATTTGCCTATAGTTGTTAACAAATGGAAGCACGACAAAAGAATAAAAATCCTATTATAAATTCTGAATCTTATTCTGTTGATTTATTTGATATATTTGAAAGACTGTTGTCGATTTTTGTTTCGAATAGCTTTTTTGTAAAAACGATCTTTAAATGAAAATTGAGACATTGAACGGTTTCCATTATGAAATTTTGTACGCTGAATATACATTATTTGCATAGGGGTAATGAGCCCATCACCGTTTGAATTTCTTAATCTTCATTTAAAAATCAGAGATCATTTAGTAATTGAAATGTATAAAACAAATCAACGTTGTAGGTACCAAATGATTTGATACGTTTAGATGATTAAACGATTTTTTACAGGAGTGATCTTCAAATGATGATTAAGAAATTGAATGGTTCTGAGTTTATATGCTCAAAATATGTTATAATTAGCAAATGGAGGGATATGTGCATCCCCTCTTGGGGATGGAGACTTGGCAAACGGGTCGTATTGTCGTGTTCGTGTCATACCTGTTATATGTACGGATTCTTAAAAAGTGACCTGATAACGACACGACCTATTAACGACTCGTATCGTTTCACGTCTGATTAATGTGTCATGCAAAAATTCAATGTCTAAACCTTGCAACCAGGTCGTCCTCATGTCATTTACATGTCATATTAGTTATCAAAATAAGTGACCCAATTTGTTAACGTGTTCTAACGGGTACGTGAAAAAACAGAAAACATCTTGCATAGAGATTTATAAAGAAACAGTTTTCAATGCACCAAACTTCAACTTGATTGTAATATAGCGACCCTTCTCTTGTTTTTGTCTTTATTATTAATAAAAGTTTATTAAGCCCTTGGATAAAAAATTTGTTGTGTGTTTTAATTAAAACCCCAAAAAAAAAGTCTTAGAAGGTAGTGCAATTTCTTAAATACGAAAAGATTTTATAAAAACACGATAAACCATCAAACCTTTTAGAGTATTAGTGAAAACAATTAACCCAAAAAAAAAGAAAAGAAGAAGGTAGAATTAATGAATGGGAAATATCGAGATTCAAGATAGCACCCAGCAAGCATATATTTGGGCTCAATGCCAAGGTTTGAGCCAGACAAATTGACAGGCCCAAGTAAATCTGGGCCGTATCCCGGCAGACCCGGTGGGAACCTAACGGCATGATGAACGGAGAGTATGGTCACCCAACGTCGTATGAACTGGCTTGGCTCAGAGGCAGTATTTTCCCAGTCGCTTATCTGCCATTGGCGCCTCTCCCTCTCTCTGTCGTACATACAACACAGAAGAAAGCAGAAGGAAAGAAGAAGAAATAAAAGCAGCAGCAGCTGGCGCCTGGCTCCTGGCTCCTGGGCCGATCCTTTACATACACATATACATATACATATAGGTAAAGCTTTATTCAATTATTTTCTTCTTTCCCTATTTAATTTGTTCTCCGTGGCTGCACTCGCTGTTTAACGACGATATATCATGTATGATGTTTAAAGGTACATAAATCTGATCTTCTGCCAAGTAGAAAATTTTCCTTCTTGATGCGTTGTTTGCCTGAGCTTTCGCGGGCTTGTAATTTTCCTGAGTCAAAGCATAATTTATTAGAAAATAATGAAGATGTTTGAGTTTTCAATTTTCAAGGAAATTACGTGTAGCGTATGAAACAAAATGTTCAATTTAATTTGTTTTAGTTGTATTGAATTTGAAGTGATGAAGCATACCCCTTCAAATTCAATGACATTGTTTTCGCTTGTTTGGCAGGAAAGTAACCTTGTTTTTTGCTGATTTCCTCTAGCTGGGTGACTGAAATTGTTCTGGATTCAATTGGGTTCTTGTTCCTAAAGGAATAGGTTTGGTGGAATTATATAGAGATGGGGAACAATATAAGGGAAGAAATCATGATTTTGGATCTAAACCAAGAGCCTTTAGACCAACCACCTGATTCGGTGATCGGATTAGATAACATACTCAATGAGCTTGAAACTGCACATGGACGCATTGAAGAACGTATCAGACAACTAGAAGCAGTCACTTCCAGGGCTTCACAGCGTCCGAGGTGGCAACAAGCTCAAATTTCCCCTCAAATTGTGAATACCACTACCGGAGTTGTTGCTTCTGATACACAAAACGAACACAGTCAGAGTGGAGACGATGCTCTAGCTTCCCGAGAAACAGTGGAATCGGGCAAAACCAACAGAGGTGATAACATGCATTTGATAGCCAAGGCACTGGGGATGGATACACCTGTGAAAAAGGCAGAGCCTCATACTGGGAGCTTTTTTGATTGTAATATATGCTTGGACATGGCAAGAGATCCTATATTGACATGTTGCGGTCATCTGTTTTGTTGGCCATGCTTCTATCAGTTGTCATATGCGGATTCAAATGCAAAGGAATGCCCCGTGTGTGAAGGAGAAGTCACTGATACAAGTCTGATTCCAATTTACGGGAATGGGGATGGTAACTGTTCTCGCAAATCAAAGGAGTCTGTTTCAAAGGCCCCTCCTAGGCCCCCTGCACACAGGATTGAGGGTTTGAGGCAGCAGCTCATTAGGCGGGGCCCATCTTCTACTTTGATTGAAGAAAGGATTCAGCAACTTAGCAACATAGTTGGTTCAATGAGGGAGAGAAGACGGTCACGGGATAGTTCCCGTGCCCAAATCATGGCTGAAAGAACTAGTTTCGTGCCCAGCCAGAATCATGCATCCCAGGCATCACCTGCCACTGAGGCGAGAAACCAAAACCAGCATGATTCCCATCAAGTACTACAACGAGCTGCTTCAGTATCTTCCCTTTCGTCAGTTTTGAGTACTGCAATGGATTCAGCAGACAGATTAGTCGAGGATCTTGAGGAATATAGTATTAGTCCCCATGTGAGAAGAACCCATCATCAATCTTTACATATTGACACTGGAGATACATCTTCCAGCATTGTTGCAGTTATACAACCAGAAACTCTGACTTCTGATACTGCTGCTGAAATCAACTCTGATGCGCTCCCTTCTGCTTCCTTGATAAGAACTGATACCATTATTGTGGACCAGACAACAGATTCAGAAACAAATTTTGCATTGCTCCCCTCATCTTCTAGGAGAAGAACTAATCAAATAGATTTTGATTCAAACAATGGATATGCATCTGAACCTAGAAGAAGAAGGTTGAGATAAACAAAAAGCTGTTTCCTGGAGATACAGATCAAAATAATACAAGGTTCGTAATCATTATACTGCAAACTTTTTTGTTTGCTGAAGGTATCAGAATTTTCTTCATATGGCTGTGTTTGGCAACCATGTATGAAGTTCTGACTGCTGTTAAAAGCATTATTGAATTCATTCTGTAAATAGATACTGAAATTTGATGTATGGCATCTGGGCTATCAGTAAGAGCACCTTTTTGTCCTCTTTCCAAGAATTGAACTTTCCATGGAAGAATCTTTCGGTGTTCTTCACTTTCAAGGGATGTATTGAGGATTGTTTCTGGTGTTATGCCATGGCCCAGGGTCCTTTCTGTACGCCAAAGAGCAGTCTATATTTGTAAGTCTTATAGATGCTCATTCTAGTTTCTATATCCTTGTACGCGCTTTATATCTTGGTAAATATATATGTACCACTACTACTTTTGAAACTGTCAGCTGCTAGTTCTTTAACCTGATATTTTCTTGCAATTTATTATGACAAGTCCAAAACTAATGGCTGGTTGAAGCATTTTTTGCTGACCAACTTTACTTTGGTTGAGTTTACTTGATCCTTCAATTATTCTGCAGCAAGTTACTCGTTACTAGGCACCATTAATCGTATTGTATTTTCTGGTTGGATGATAAGTGTTAAGATAAGATCATTTTAGTTCTTACCATTTGCCACCCCAATCCTCTAAGCTTGGAAGTAGAAATAAATATAATACAATGACATTTTTCAATGCTAAACATTGACTTCCTGAAATACCTTTGACATGCAAGTGGTAAGAAGAAGATCAGGATTGCCAATTTTTTCAATTAGGTTTGTGTGGGATGTTGACATTTAGCTCTAAAGGGAAAGATTTCAGTTAGGGCTATACTTTGTAATAAGAACCTACTTCTAATGTCTTTTAAGATGGCAGAAATGTGACAAGATAGCAAAATCTTATCACTCAAAATGGAAATTTTATTTTTATTGAAACAGCTAGTTGTCAGTCACGTCCTTTATGGTCTTGATTGTTGTTACGTTGGAAGTCTGTATCAGTAGGTGTCTAAGTTTTACTTTTTGTATGTATAATTTTCATAATACATATGAAAATACTCGGTCAATATTTGGTGCATGAGTTTGGGCGGCTGCCAAACTGTTCGATCCCTCCTTTGGAACAAAAGTTCACAATTTCTCATATTTTAGCCTCAAATGCTAATAGATCCTGAGTGGTTTTTAATCTTTGATGATCTGGCATTGGGTTTGTAGATTTCTCACTCTTTTATTTTATGACCTTATTCCTTGTTGATGCTGGAGTTAGTGTACCTTATTTTTTTTCCTTCCATATTAGGGCATACATCGTCCATTTTGTTGTTTGACTCACCAGCTTCAGTTATGCGTATTGGTGATACATAAGATGCCACAAATTACATTTATAGAACATCAAGTTTCTGTCTTTGTGCATGTCTGATACAGTGCATTGAACAAATTGTGGTTTTCAGTGACAATGGTCAAGTATTTGTCCTTGGATATGCTAGTGATCACTTAAACAAATATCCTTGGATATGCTAGTGATCACTTAAACAAGTGTCAGGTATTCACCGCTAAAAGCAGTCTATTTTTCTTGCTACAAGGAAAAGTCATTACCGTATCGTAGAATGAGAAATAAATGTTTCTGGCTAGAAAATGATCTCCTTCCACTTCCTTTCTCCTAGCAGTAGTTCTTTCATAGATCACTGAAAGTAGTTATACAATGAAGAAGTTACACAATGGAAGCATCAACATCATTATGTAAGGATGAAAATGAAGAGGACTTAAATAGGGAGTCCGTATCAATATTTATTGTGACATTTAATGAGGGTGCACCTTCTTTTCAATGAATTGTCTGGCCTTTTGCTTATCTCTTGGTTGTTCTCCTTGTGGCATACTTCAGATCCGTGTTGGTTTAGGTGTTTGCCTTAATCGTGGCCTTGGACTCGATCATAGTAAATCACTTCAGCTATATAGATGAGTTATTGCCGCAAGGTTGTTTTGGGTTTTATTTCAAGATTCAAATTGATTGACATTCTTTGAAGGGATGTGGAAATAGAAGACAACAACAACAACAACAACAACAAAGCCTTTTCCCACTAAGTGGGGTCGGCTATATGAATCCTAGAACGCCATTGCGCTCGGTTTTGTGTCATGTCCTCCGTTAGATCCAAGTACTCTAAGTCTTTTCTTAGAGTCTCTTCCAAAGTTGTCCTAGGTCTTCCTCTACCCCTTCGGCCCTGAACCTCTGTCCCGTAGTCACATCTTCGAACCGGAGCGTCAGTCGGCCTTCTTTGCACATGTTCAAAATCACCGGAGCCGATTTTCTCTCATATTTCCTACAATTTCGGCTACTCCTACTTTACCTCGGATATCCTCATTCCCAATCTTATCCTTTCTCGTGTGCCCACACATCCCACGAAGCATCCTCATCTCCGCTACACCCATTTTGTGTACGTGTTGATGCTTCACCACCCACATTCTGTGCCATACAACATCGCTAGCCTTATTGCCGTCCTATAAAATTTTCCCTTGAGCTTCAGTGGCCTACGACGGTCACACAACACGCCGGATGCACTCTTTCCATCCAGCTCGTATTCTATGGTTGAGATCTCCATCTAATTCTCCGTTCTCTTGCAAGATAGATCCTAGGTAGCGAAAACGATCGCTTTTTGTGATCTTCGCTAGATTGCTCCAGTCATTAGTGTGGATAAGTATATAAATGGATAGAGAATAGGAAAGCAAACACAAGATGTACGTGGTTCACCCAGATTGGCTACGTCCACGGAATAGAAGAGTTCTCATTAATTGTGAAAGGGTTTACACAAGTACCTAGGTTCAAGCTCTCATTTAGTGAGTACAAGTGAATGATTTAGTACAAATGACATTAGGAAATATTGTGGGAGAATGATCTCGTAATCACGAAACTTCTAAGTATCGGAGTGTGTTGGTGTCGTCTTGACTTGCCTTATCTGTCTCATAGGTAGGTAGATGTGACATCTTCTCTGGAAGTACTCTTCCTCCATCCAGGGGTGGTATCTTTAACTGGTGGAGGAGATGCACAAGGTAATGTATCAATTTCACTTGAAGCTTACTTGTAGTTTTCAGGCTTGGTCAAGCGCGATACAAACCATGTAGTAGGAGTCCCCCAAGTCGCCGAGCTAGGGGGTCTGCTGAAAGAGGTGACAGACAAGGTAAGCAATCAGAGCTCCGACTGATTGTTCACCTCTCCCCATCTTGCAGCAGCATGAAGGATAAAGAGAAGAAAAATGAGAGAGAGATGATGATATGAGATACTTTTGCTTTTGAAGAAGTAACTTTCCACAGGCTTATTCTTGAACTGAGCTGGAGGGTTTTCTGGTTTCCTCCAGAGTATAAGGCCGACTGAAGAATTTGAGGGTCAAAACAAGTCCATCAAATCTAGAGTACGTTCCACCCTGCTGATATGGGATACTTTTGCTTTTGACAGAGTAATGAATGTATCGGCACGTGTGCTGTTACGCTTGTCTCCACATGCTTCCTTGTATCCTTCGCACTTGCCCTATCTGTTCCTCAAGCAGATGCGGAATCTTCCCTGGAAACATAAGATGTTGAAGATGAATACTCGAGAGCAATGCCAGGTAAGTAAGTAATCAGGTAAGGGGTTCCAGGCAGTCAGTTCCTGGCTGGAAGCTTGATTCCAAGTGCTGACTGATTGCTCTCTTTCTCCTTGTCTTGCAGGTAAAAACAAGGCCAAAAGAAAAGACAGGAAAAAAGCATGATATGGGATACTCTTGCTTTTAACCCTGATGATATGAGATATTCTTGCTCTAGTATAGCTTGTTTGCAGAGGTATTATCGGGGGGAAAGAAAGCTGAATATTTCGAAAGGCTTCGTTGGGAGTGCCCTCTCAGAGATATGATGAAGGGTTGAGCATTTTTTGCAGGTCTCTGCCTGTCCGTTGGGGGATGGAGGTCGACATATATAGGAGTCTCCCTAACAACAAGTAGTAATGTTATTCCTTTACCCTGCTTGGTCATAGCACGGTAGTGGGAGCTGCCAGTTTCACATGTTTTAACTCTGTCAGAGCACTTTGAAAAAAGTGGTCTGTGGTATCTGGCTCTCGAGATTCGGAGAACGATGCCTCTTCGATTTTTGAGAAAGCAATCATGCTGGGGGTATGACTCTCGAGATTCGGAGAGCAGTGTCTCTTCGATTTTTGAGGAAGTAATCATGTTGGGAGTCTGGCTCTCGAGATTCGGAGGGCGGTGCCTCTTCGATTTTGGAGCAAGCAATCTTGTTGGGAGTGTTGTCTCGAATGTGAGTAAAGGTTGGGCATGTTTGCTAGTCTACCTTGCCACGAAGCACAGAGGTTGACACACAGGGACTTTCCAATTATCCAGCAGTGGTACTGTTCCTTTACAGTTGTGGGTAATAATATGGTAGCTAGACCTTCAAAATTTATGTGTCTAAACTTTGTTAGTGCTGCTGTTTCTTTGCTATTCTTTTACCTTTCTTGGTCAGAGCGATGTAGTGGGAGCTGCAAGCTTTACGTGCTCAACTTTGGCAGAGAACTTTGGCAAAGTTATTTGTGGTACCCATGAGCTATTGTTGCGTGTGGGAAGTGGGGTGATTGAACAGTAAGATTCATGTGCTTTCTACTTCACCAGAAGTCTTCGACAGAATGCCCATAATTTCTGCAAAGCTGAGTGTGCGTGTGACAGGTGCTGACAAGGCTAGAAAAGTAGGTGCCTCTTCGATTTCTGAGATCGGCCCTCGTGGTCTCTGAGCAGCCCAGCTTTTGAGAAAGCGAGCGCCTCTTCGATTGATTCGGAGAACGATGCCTCATCGATTTTTGAGAAAGCAATCATGCTGGGGGCTGGCTCTCGAGATTCGGGGAACAACGTGTCTCTTCGATTTTTGAGAAAGTAATCATGTTGGGAGTCTGGCTCTCGAGAGATTCGGAGGGCGGTGCCTCTTCGATTTTGGAGCAAGCAATCTTGTTGGGGAATGTTTTTCTCGAATGTGAGTAAAGGTTGGGCATGTTTGCTAGTCTCTACCTTGCCACGAAGCACAGAGGTTGACACACAGGGACTTTCCAATTATCCAGCAGTGGTACTGTTCCTTTACCCTTGTGGGTAATAATATGGTAGCTAGACCTTCAAAATTTATGGGTCTAAACTTTGTTAGTGCTGTTTCTTTGCTATTCTTTTACCCTTCTTGGTCAGAGCGATGTAGTGGAGCTGCAAGCTTCACGTGCTCAACTTTGGCAGAGAACTTTGGCAAAGTTATCTGTGGTACCCATGAGCTATATTGTTGCGTGTGGGAAGTGGGTGATTTGAACAGTAAGATTCATGTGTTTTCTA